GGAGGTAAGGAGGGAGGGAAGGAGGGGAAGAGGTAAGGAGGGAGAAAGGGAGGGAGGGAGGGAGGGAGGGAAGTACTGAGTTAAAGTCCCCAAAGATCAAATTCAGTAGCACAGCAGGAATCACCCCCAAAGCTCATAATTACACATACTCTACTGAACTAAACAGAATTAACAGAAGAAATGGATGGGGGAGGGAAATATCCTTTTTTAAGAGAGGGGTGTGTGTGTGTGTGTGTGTGTGTGTGTGTGTGTGTGTGCGTCTTTTAAATCAATTTGCTTCTAGACTCAAAATAGGCCTCATGGGCCTACTGAGTCTTAAATCCTCTTGACACTGTAAAGCAACTTAGCGTGGTTTCTCAAGTCTCCTCCACAATAAATGCTACCCACACTGCAAGGGGCGTTCTCTCCCACTCCCAGGCCACCCCAGCCAGGCTAGGTTTGAAAGGGCTGCTTCTGCCACTGGAGGAGTGGAAATGAGAATGAACACTGGTAGGCACCTGTAGGTTCACAAGAGGGCTCCGGAAGGGAGCACATCTACCTGACCTTCAGCCTCGGGTTTGAAAGAGGAATTGTGCCAGGACTCAAACAGGAACATTAAGCGTTTAGTGTTCTTCACAAAAGACCTTGGGAAAATTTCTCGGGATGCAAAAATGATCAAACAGAAAACAATTACCATGGGACCTCTCATAAAAAGTTGTAGAAAACATCAGAAGAAGAGCACTGAGTTATAGACAGAAGAGTTTCATGATGTTAGCAATGCACAAGGGGAAATAACTCTAAAAAACAAAAATAGGCTATGAAAAGAGAACAAGCCAACGTAGGAAATCACAGGAAAGTAAGACACACTGCTGTTAAAATTCATGTTAAAGGCAGTAAATAGCACATTCGACAGAATGAGAGACTGAGTGAGTTATTTCAACTTGAAAAACATGTCGACAACATCACAAAATGCCGAAGTTGTTAAAATATTAAAATACTTTCATATTGGTTGGTAATAGTTACTTCCCACCATGCAGTCAGTCCCTTGTGGGACTTCTCCAAGATCCAGCATCTAAGTGTAACTTTTGTTATAGCACAGAGCCTCTAGGATCCTGCTCCAGTACTAAGATGACCGTTTAACTGTCCTGTGCTATGCTGGTTACCAAATGAGCTGTTAAGTATTTTTAATATCACTCCTTGGGTCTAGCCCAAGAAGAATAGGTATTAACTTCCAGAAAGAGACAAATGAAACAGAAGTATTAATAATAATCAAAACTCTAACTCTAACCTAAGGAAGCTTTCTGGATCTAAAGAAGACTGAATCAAAGAATCGAAAAGGCTCACGACTTCCCAGGCAAACATCACAAAAGAAGACTGAATTGAAGAGCCAGGTTCATTTTCAAATCCAAGAGAGTGGACTGAATTTAGCTGGCCTAATCTCACATAGTTAAAAGGATATTTTGGTTTGTTTCTTTTGTTCTGTTTGATTTTCCCTCAAAGAAAAACAGACCAAACATCTGGCTGAATATAGTGAATCTGTGGTGGGCCATTCTTTGCACCCTTCAGAAACAGGGCTTCATTCTCCTCCCTGTGGAATGCAGATGCGCAGAGCTGCCTCCCTCTCTGGAACTGCCCAAAGTCAAAGGGAGCTTCCTTGCCCAAGGATATGTGCCCCTCCCAGCAAACATCCGAGGACTGGTCAATTCAGAGATACAAAAGTCTGGTTCCCTTGCCTGAATTTGGGAAAACTCCGAACGGCCACCTGTACAACTTGTGAGATGGGCTACGGCCTCTGCTGTAACTATATCACAGCTCAGCTTCTCGGTCTGCCCAATCCTGCTTCTTTCACTCTCTCACTGGTGTTGCTCCCAAGAATACTCACCAGCAAACCTCTTGTACAAAGCACTCTCAGCATCTGTTTAAAGGAAATCCAACATAAGGCACTCAGCCAGGGCCCTATTAAGAACTGAGAGGCAGGAGGAAACCCACTGACTAGGCTCTGAGAGGTCCCCAGTGTTACTGAGAAACGTCTTCAGATGTTATAAGGCCTGATTTCGGACAAAGCTCCCTGATTTTAGGTGAAGACAACCAGTAAACTACTGGACAGTGCTATCCAGTACCAGACAAAGTGCTATCCAAATCTCTTTCATACAAAATGGTTCTTGAAAAACGATTTCAAAAAGATAAAAGAAATCGAAAGCTAAGAAAGATGTTAAAAGGAAGCCTAGAATTGTAACATGATTTCACTATAGATACATTTTATGATACAGTCTTATTCAAAATGTTTCGGAAATGTGAAGAAGAAGAAAAATTATATTGATTTTAGGAGGCTAAAGCCGGATGAGAAAGTAAAGGAGAACATTATAGACCAATCTCACCTGTAACAATATGTGCAATAATTCTCAAAACAACTTACTTTATAAAGCTCTCTTTCACAAACAAAAAGTAGGACAATAAACAAAACATGCACATTGAACTACAGGTTTTACAGGTAAAAAACAACAAAAATAAATGACTTGAAAAATTACAAAATTAAGAATTATATATGAATCCTAGCAATGGTTCCTTGAAAGGAGTAATAAAACAAAAACTTAGGCAATTCAAATCAAGAAAAATAGAAAAAAATTAGAAAGACATAAAACTACCAAGAAAAATAAGAGAATGCCATGCATATTATATGTTAATAAACTGGAAATTCTCCATTATGCAAACAATTTTCAGAAAGAAATTATGAAAATTGGCCCAGCATATAAAATGTTAAATAAACACTGAGTTAAAAAGATCACTGAGAAACTAAAAATGTTATCAAATTATTACTTCCTCAAAAAGCTTAAAGCCTAGAAGATTTTATTATCAATCAATCTGAACTGCTTAAAGCCTAGAAGATTTTATTATCAATCAATCTGGAACTTTTAATGATCAGGTAATTCCCATATAATAGACACCCAAAAAGCTTAAAGCCTAGAAGATTTTATTATCAATCAATCTGAACTTTTAATGATCAGGTAATTCCATATAATAGACACTTATTCCACAATAGTACTACTATTAATAAGAGTGAATACTCCAGCCACTGATGCATTTAATCCTCACAATAATCCAATGATATAGATGCTATTACTACATCCATTTTACACAAGACAAAACTGAGGCACAAACAGGTTAACTACTTTGCCCAGAGCTAGCCACACAGCTAGGAGGTGGCAGAGCTGAGACCTGAATGAAGACCACACTCTTACCTCCTCTTATAAACCACCATTCACAAAGAAAGGCCGACACTTTTGTCTAAGAATTCAAAATAGCCCTGATAACAAAACCTTCATAAATTAAATATTTTTCTACCTTTTCCATAATCAGAAACATTTTAAAGAATCGAATACTTGCACAGCACTGTTCTAAGCAAGCTACAAATGTGACTGTACTTCATCCTCATTACGATCTGATGAGGGAGGTATACTATCATCATCCTCCTGGATAGATAGATAAAGAAAGAGAAACATTCACAGGTGTGTGATGACATATCTAAGATCACAGAGCAGCACGTGGCAGAGCAGAGATTCCAACTCTGGCCATTTACAGGGTTTGTACACTGTGCTACATAAACACCATAAAGGGTGCTGAAGACAGTACTGACTATAATTTTTAAATTAATCATAAATGATTGCTTTATGAAAATCAGATATGGAAATCAAAGCATCACTTATGAAATAGGTCACTGCAAGAAGTCATCAGGTGCCATTCTCAAATCTTATAATAATCTAAACCAAACTATTTACATGAAGAGCAAAGTTCACAGGGACAATCAAAATCATAATCAGACTGACATTTTCTTACAAAAATAAATAATTACTGTTATATTTGATTTATAAATACAATCTATACTATGACTAACAGTTATTACAACTTCATTGCTTAATTAAACCATTAAACCACTGCATTTTTTTTTTTTTTTGAGAGAGTCTCGCTCTGTAGCTCAGTCTAGAGTGCAATGGCGTGATCTTGGTTCACTGCAACCTCCGCCTCCCAGGTTCAAGTGATTCTCCTGCCTCAGCCTCCTGAGTAGCTGGGACTACAGGCGTGCACCACCACACCTGGCTAATTTTTGTATTTTTAGTAGAGACAGGGTTTTACCATGTTGGCGAGGCTGGTCTCAAACTCTTGACCTCAGGTGATCCGCCTACCTTGGCCTCCCGAAGCAATATATTTTTAACAAAGATGTAGGACAAATTATTTCCTCCAGTATAATTTAAAACATTGTTCAAGTAATTTTTTTTCATTTTGTGATATTAGGTTAAGACAATATCTGGATTTCAAAACACATTCTGAATTGAGTTTTAAACACAGGAAGCAAATGACATCAACAATACTAAAGACAATGTGTGACAAGGTCCAAAGAGAATGTCTTACCAAACTTTATGTACAATACTGTACCAATATGTGTGACTATTAATACAGACCATAAATGAATCTATATAAAAAATTACATACTATATTGATACTGAACAATAAACTTTTATTGCCTGCAAAAAAGAATAAGGTAACCAAACTTAAAGTTCATCTTTTGCAGCCATAAAAAAGAATGAGATCATGTCTTCTGCAGGAACATGGATGGAGCTGCAGGCTATTACTTTCAGCAAACTAATGCAGGAACAGAAAAACAAACACCGCACGTTCTCACTTATACATGGGAGCTAAATGATGAGAACCTATGAACACAAGGAAAGGACAGACACTGGAGTCTACTTGCTGGCAGAGGCCAGGAGGAGTCAGAGCATCAGAAAAGGTAACTATCGGGTATTGGGCTTAATTCGTGGGTGATGAAATAATCTGGATAACAAACCCTCATGACATGAGTTTACCTACGTAACAAACCTTCACATGTATCCCTGAACCTAAAACAGTAAAAATAAACAATAAAATTCATTTTTAACATAAAAGAGACTGTTGTATTCCAGTTAAGGCTATGACTGTTTCATATTAGCAGTCATACACATCAGTAATATGAGAATTATTATGGCTACCTCTGGCTTCATGTGATGTTCTCATTTCACTTTCTGTTCTCTCTTCAAAGTCTTCTTTGACATCATCAGCATGCTGGTCTCTGAGAAAAACAGGCAATTCAATATTTTACAAGAGAAACATTTTTTAAAAATGGTTCAGAACTGCATCTCAACAACTGCTTTTCTTAATTTTAAACCAAAGGATGCTACTAAAGTGTTAGAAAGGATATATAGTTCTACTACAAGGCAATTAATTAATAATACCTATAAATGTCCATTTTCTTCATTATCAATTTTCATTTCCTATTCAGGAAGAAGATTTTAAAGCTAAGGATAATAAAATGAACTATTCTGGAAAATGTAGCTATTGAATAATTCAACTACAATTTGGAACATGTATTCATGTGGAATTTTACTTACACAGTTTGGTAAGACTTCTATTTAAAGAAAGAAGATGTTTTGAAAGTCCACACCATTTAACTAAGTCACTATACACTACTCAGCACCAGGATTCGGATAGAGGCTAAGATTGGCTAGGGGGAATCAATCCCAATTCTAGGAAGCTTTTCCTGGTTTAATCACGTCAAGTCCACCAGCTGAAGTGATTTCACCTCTTTCTGACCGGGAATAACCTAATGCTAAACTAAACATGCCAGAGATGCTGCAAAATGGAATAGACCCATTACAATCTTAATTCAGAGCTTTACTCCTTTTATGTCAGGGGCAAAAATGAAATGGTTTTGTTTTTTTTTTTTTTTTAGAAAAAAAAAAAGGAACTACTTTTCTTAAATTTCAGGGATTAAAAATTCTTCACCCTAATGTATTCCATTCTCAAGATTCACAATAAACCCCATTTTGCAATTTCTTCTACCCAGAATATGCTATCTGGCCTACACACTTCAGTGCTTTAAAGTATTCTGTGTTTATGATGTGCTATTGTTTCATACATGCTGTTACCATTACAAATACACGAGAGTTTCTTAAAGATCCAGAGCATAGTTCTGTTCAGTTTTAATAACGGCAAATACGTTTGAAACAAAATATCCCAACAAATATAAAAGGAGTTCTACAGTTTTAATTACAAAGGCACTAACTGAGTCTCCATTTGAAAATATAACACAACACTAACACAGTAAGCATGCAATAAATACATTTTCTATTTCTATTGCTATTTTTAAATTATTTATTGTTTATTAGTGATCATCCTGTGAGGAGATATTATTTTTAAGAAAGATCATTTCCAGGAGCAAATGTGAAATTTCATTTGAATCTGAGCTCCCTGGCTTAGTTCATGCTAAAAAGAACTTGCTACAACTGCTGAAGTGTACTTGCTCTTTTGATAATGGGGGAGAATCATTATTTTTTTCCAAGAGAAACCAATTAAATGGCAACAGGGTCTCTTATGCCATAGAAAGGAGAGGGATGAAGCTATAGTAAAAACAAATGTAAGAGTATCACTGATAACTGGAGAAAGAACATTAGTTGAAGTATTGATAAAAATTGTGTTTTCTCTGTAAAAATAATGCTGCAGTTATGCTCGGTAATTACAACATGTTAAAATTAGCTTACCATGCTAAAATTAACTTCTATGAACTTCCAAATTTGTTTTATATTAAATCGGAAATAATAGTGCACAAATTCTATCCCAGAAAGTACTGTGGTCAACAAATAGTTTGTAGATGGCTATATTAATTATTATTAAAAACCATACTCCACAGCGGTATAACTTAAAATTGGCATTTCCCAAATAAAATAAATGTCCAATTATTGTGGTTTTTCTAGAAGCTCTGATGAGTAGTTGATTTTTTTTTAATAGAGAGAGAAACGTCATGAGTCCAAAAGCTAAAAAATCAAAATTTTCTGTATATTTCAGTTTTCAGGATCACAATTATCCACTGATAATCTGCAGTTACCCTTTTGTGGTTTTACTAAAGCATACCATTCCTTTAAAGTAAGCTTTGTTAAAATAAAGACAGAAGGCTTGAGCTATGAGAAAAATTCCCTTGTTTTCTTTTCTTTTCTTTTTTTTTTTTTTTTTTGAGACGGAGTCTCGCTTTGTCGCCCAGGCTGGAGTGCAGTGGCCGGATCTCAGCTCAGTGCAAGCTCCGCCTCCCGGGTTTATACCATTCTCCTGCCTCAGCCTCCCGAGTAGCTGGGACTACAGGCGCCTGCCACCTCGCCCGGCTAGTTTTTTGTACTTTTTAGTAGAGACGGGGTTTCACCGTGTTAGCCAGAATGGTCTCGATCTCCTGACCTTGTGATCTGCCTGTCTCAGCCTCCCAAAGTGCTGGGATTACAGGCTTGAGCTACGGCGCCTGGCCAAGTTCCCTTGTTTTCTTATGCCTGAATACAATGACAATTACTTATTTCCGAACTCCAAGAAAAAGATCACTTTCCAAGAGGGAACAGAGATAGAATAAGGAAGTAAAATCTTTGACCCAAAAAATTTCCTCATGCCTGGATCTGACATAACCTGTCCCAAAAGAGAAGCAGAGTGGAAGCTATGTACTCTTACATAATTTATGTTGCTTCATTATAGAGGCATGTTCAGTTTTCACTGCCCCAGTTTTAACTCATGACACTTCATTAAATTGGAGCCATACAAACCTGGGAATATATAAACACAGAAACGTATTTTTACCAAACGGGAAGAACTCCACAAAAAAATGTTTACTGAATGTTTTATTTCAGATTAATGTATTGATTCTGCCAATTCCTTCAAATTAAAAGCACCTACGCTCCTGTGGTTCTATGTGCTGTTTCCTTTAGCTAGAGAGTGGAAAGGTGGAAGACAGGGTCAATCTGCGCAGTCTATTAGAACAGGCATTATGAAACAGACGGGTGAATAGAACCACTGGAGCGAGCAGAATCTTAATCAAGCACATCCAGACATGTGGAAACAGTTAATATTAATAAGAAAAGTTCACTTCTTAAGAACATAGTATGAGCCAAAGACTGACTGAGCTTTTTACATGCCCCATATTTCATGACACGTATTGAAGGAAGGTTTATTATTATAGCCACAGAAATGTAGAGACATTAAGATCAAATTCACAGGGCGAGTATAGCACCCGTTCTTTTTGACACCAAAATCTGCAATTGGATTCAGTTGTTTTTTATTTTTACACTTGTGTTTTTCCAAAATAAAGTATGACATACGAAGTTAAAGGAAACAAGCTTTTTGTGCCATAAACTTATTCTCCAAATTTTCTTTCATTGATGAGGTCAGGAATGAAGAGCCTGACTCCGTATTCTCATTTGTTTTACATTTTATTTAAAATAAAAATTGAGGCCAGGCACAGTGGCTCATGCTTCTAATACCAGCACTTTGGGAGACTGAAGTGGGAGGGTTGCTTGAGTCCAGGAATTCAAGACCAGCCTGGGAAACACAGTGAGACTGTGTCTCTACCAAAAAAAAAAAAAAAAAAAAAAAAAAAAAAAATAGCCGGGCATGGCGGCATGCACCTATAGTTCCAGCTACTTGGGAAGCTGAGGCAGGTGGATCACTTTAGCCCTGGAGGTCAAAGCTGCAGTGAGCCATGATTGCACCACTGCACTCCAGCCTCGGTGACAAAGCGAGACTGTGTCTCAGAAAGAAAAAAACAAAAAAAAAATTGTTTATTCAATTGGACAACCATTATTTCTCTCTACTATAAGGTTAAGAATTTCATTACGCAAATTCTGGCTGAATATGTAGATGTGTAGATGAATCTTCCTCTACACAAAAATGAAATCCTTGTTCTAGAATTTCAACTTCCTAAGCAAAATGTTATTTTAGCTACATAGTCTTCCAATTACAGATGAAATATGATTATATCAGAATGCCAAAACTCTGGGATAACGTTACAACACCCTCTGGAACATAGTAAATGATACGCTTCTTGACAGATTTTTTTAAATGACAACCATAAATATTATCAGGCTATATTTTAATATCACAATTATTGTCAACCTAAACATTTCCTGACCTGCTTTCCTTGATCAACATTTTTCATTATCAACAATTTCCTTTCAAAAGAGGGTACAAGCTGTTTAGGCACAAGTGTGCGATTTTTTTTTTTTTTTTTTAAAGAGACAGGATCTCACTCTGTTGTCCAGGCTGGACTGCAGTGGTGCCATAAGTAGCTCACTGTAACCTCAAACTCATGCTCAAGTGCTTCTCCAGCCTCAGCCTCCCAAGTAGTGGAAACTACAGTCATGCGCTACCATGCCTGGCTAATTTTTAAGTTTTTATAGAGACAGGGTCTCACTATGTTGCTCAGGGCTGGTCTGAATTTCTGGCTTCAAGTAATCCTCCTGCCTCACCCTCTCAAAGCATTGAGATTACACACATTGCAGATGGGTGCCTGAATCTTAACATGGAGGAAGCAGCCCAGCAATAGTGGTTACACATGTGATCTCAGGAAGTGAAGAGATCTGCTTTAAATTTCAGTTCTGCTACTCACTAGGTTTACATGACCATCAGCAAGTTACTTAATTTCTCTAATTCTCAGTTACATCATTGGTAAAACAAGGATAACAAATCCTTTACCTCAGAGGGGCATGTTAAGAATGAAATAATGTATAGAAAGCACTTAGGACAGAGCCAGGCACTTAAGTAGGAGCATGATGCACAGCAGCTATTCCTAGGTTATAAATTACTTATATTTTAGGATAAAATTATCTACTGATACCTGTTTTCTTTAACCTTATTTCTTCAACTATTAAAACAGCTTTTAGAGTAATGGTTCCAAGCACAGACTACAGTCAGACTGCCTGGGTTATAACTCAGGTCTGCTATGGACTAGCTATGTGGCCTCTAACCAAAAGAGGTTCCGTGTTTGTAGAATGAGGGTGTGATGATGACAACTACACCATATAAGGTATTATGAAGATTAAATAATAGGCACCGACATAGGTAAAAGCACCTACAAAATGGCAATTTCTCTTGGAATTTCAAAATTTTCAAGAAGCCATTTACTGCAACATTTCTTTAGTTGCAATTCAATACAATTCAATTCAATTCAATACATTTCAGTTGTATTGAACTGAAATACAATCATAGTGAAATCTTAACAATACTTTTGGCTTTTAATTAAGATAGTGGAATCCACTTGAATGG